GAAATGAACAAGTGTTGATTTCAAGTCCCCTGGGTCTCCTTACAGGGGAAGCAGGGCGACAGAGTGATCGATATCACATGTGATGACAGATGAGACGTATATGTATTTCATGAAAGATCACAGCACCCCTCTCCAGAACAAATAAGTTAGTGTCTGTGTACACCAGGAGATACTTCTTGTGAATAATGCATCAGTCATACTGTGTCATCCTGTAATCAAATTGCGTTTGTTTTAGGGAAATGTGTCCGTTTGATTAGAGCATGGAGTCTTGGTTACAGACGAGGTGTTGATTTCACGCTGACGTTGCCTCTTCACTCAGGGAAGGACAGCATGTGTCATTCTGATTGTCAGAGATAAGGTTGTGACATTTTTAATGTCACAGATGGCACATGTCATTCTGACACTCAAAGAAGCTACAATTGACCTTCTGGGTGTTGGGATTGATCCATGTTTTCTGGGTGTCATACCTGAAACGTCCTTCTGGGTGTCATACAAGAAACGTCCTTCTGGGTGTCATAGGAGAACATTTGTCCTTCTGGGTGTCATAGAAGATACATTTGTCCTTCTGGGTGTCATAGGCAAACATTTGTCCTTCTGGGTGTAATACAAGAAACGTCCTTCTGGGTGTCATAGTAGAAACGTCCTTCTGGGTGTCATGGGAGAAATGTTTGTCCTGGGTGTCATAGAAGAAATGTTTGTCCTTCTGGGTGTCATAGAAGAACCATTTTGTCATTCTGGTTGTCATAGAAGAAGCATTTGTCCTTCTGGTTGTCATAGAAGATACATTTGTCCTTCTGGGTGTCATAGAAGAAGCATTTGTCATTCTGGGTGTCATAGAAGAAATGTTTGTCCTTCTGGGTGTCGTAGAAGAAACGTTTGTCCTTTTGGCTGTCATAGAAAAACGTTTGTCCTGGGTGTCATAGAAGAAGCGTTTGTCCTTCTGGGCGTCATAGAAGATACATTTGTCCTTTTGGGTCTCATGGAAGAAACGTTTGTCATTCTGGGTGTCATAGAAGAAGCGTTTGCCATTCTGGGTGTTATAGAAACAGCCTTTGTCATTCTGGGTGCTTAATAAGAAGCATGTTTCATTTTAGGTATTTTAGAGGAAGCATTTGTGTTGTGCCCTTCTTAATTTGATAAATGATACCTATTTTCATTCGGAATGTCATAGAGGATACTTGTATTAGAACTTCCAGTTGCACAAAATTTAAATACACTCGAGAGCAAACAAATACAAAGCTACTCGGTATGATCAGAGTTGTCTGAAAGGGCTATATCTTGTCAACGTATACAGCAGTACAGTGTATTGTACAGCATAGTGTGAAAGGGCTATATCTTGTCAGGGTATACAGCAGTACAGTGTATTGTACAGCATTGTCTGAAAGGGCTATATCTTGTCAGCGTATACAGCAGTACAGTGTATTGTACAGCATTGTCTGAAAGGGCTATATCTTGTCAGCGTATACAGCAGTACAGTGTATTGTACAGCATTGTCTGAAAGGGCTATATCTTGTCAGCGTATACAGCAGTACAGTGTATTGTACAGCATAGTCTGAAAGGGCTTTGTACAGAGTTACATCCCCTTCGATCATGTGTTCAAATCCCAGATTCACCTTTATTATCTTTCTGGATTTGACAGCACCTTACCCATGCAGCATGGGCGGATCCAGGAAATTTGTGTAACCCCCCCCCGCCATCCTCCAATGCATTCTGAACACTTAATTACAGTGTTGATTAAATTCATTCCAAGCAAAATACCTGTCAGTCATACCCTTTATCATCATGACATAGCTTATGATGACAGCCGTGGTCTATATGTGATATTTTACTGTTATGACCCAATATGTTGACTCTTCATGCGTCCCACTGAAGCATCAGCCAAGAGGCTGAACAGAGTTGTCTCCCCTCCCCTTATCACGATGTTCAACATCAGTGTCATAGACTGTTATTTGATGCTTCCATCGGCAATTTTACAGAGGTATGATATCAGACTTTAAACACTGAAGCTTGGAACACATAATCCAGTGACTGACGTCATGAGCATCTATCCTAACCAATCCAGACCACAGAATCTATTTAGTCGGCTTCTGTGACTAGCATAGGTTACTTGTTGCCAACAAATGTACACAGGTAGAAAGATTGCTGAGTCGGCAATATACAGCTAGTGGTTGATGTTGTGAGCATCACTCCACACTGAGCCATCTATTTAATAAACTCTTCTGTAATGGACGGTTGGCTGGCTGGTTGTTTAACGCCACACTCGGCAATATCCAGCCATATTGGGATCAGTTAGCCTGACCACCCGATATCGGCTGTGGTCAGTTAAACTTCCGGTGGACTCTTTAGAAATGATGTGTAACATCGCTTTTGTTTGGATTTCCCTTTTGCTATTTATGGCAGACGACACATTGAGGTACCGCAGTAATGATTGTGAAAAATATGTCGGAAGCAGAAGTAAAGAAGAGAAAGTCAAACTGGAACAAAGATGATCGAGGTCCTGATTTTGATGGAATTCATGAAAGCAAACGCCAGTGTTTTGAAGGGGAGGTTTGGTCCAGCGTGACATCGGCGAAGCAGCAAGAGGCGTGGCAGGTAATGTAAACATTGGCCTCGACGGTCGACCTGTTGTCAGTAATACAGAAATGTCTTAGGCTCCGTGCCAGACATTCTTTTTATTTGTTTTGAAAATATATCTTGGCCATGATGGGACTACAGCTTGTAGTATCAGGAATATTTATAAACTTTCCATTGTGTTTTGTTAACTGACAATTCCCTTGCTGCAGACATGAGATGAAATATAAAAGTTTGGAGTGATATCTAAAGTATTATCATCATATATGTGGGATCAATTACTTAAATTGAGAACAACTCTTTCAAGAATATTTTGGAAAATTAAAATTTAGGAAATCCTACTTTGAAAAAATATCCTTTCTCCTAAATGTCCTGCCTCTCAACATATCCACAATTGTAAAACATATAATTGATTTTTACCATGTTATGGTTGTGACATAGTGTTTTGGTATTTGGCTCACTTCTGAATGTATGTAATGAGTGAGTGAGTGAATATGGTTTTATGCCACTTTTAGCAATATTCCAGCTATATCACGGCAGCAAACACCAGAAATGGGCTTCACACATTTTACCCATGTGGGGAATCAAACCCAGGTCTTTGCCTAAATATGATAGATCAGTCGGGTTAAATCAAACAACAACAAGAACAAACATTTGCCAACAACAAGCACAATCATTTGAAAATTAGAAATAACAAAAAACTCAGTAACACATAGATTATTTGGGTGGTTTATGATGTTTTAAGAAAAATAATTCCTAATTTGTAGAAGTATTAAAATAGTCATTAAAAGTCTACAACATGATTATAGATGTGTTACTATTTTTTTCATATTTTTTTTTTAAACTGTATTTTGTAACTACTGTAGCTATCCAGACAAAATGTAACAGCATTTGTGCTCTATAATGTGTAGTGACTACGCTTGTTCCATGTTTTTTCAAGTTAAATTCAAAGGACATCGCTCTATGTTGTTGACCAGTCATGTGACTTTGTAGCAACAGGGGTCGCTCTCTTCAGCCTTGCTCAGAATACAATATTTGAATATGGAGGAGTTATCTCCCTTTATATGTTGATAGTGATTGGGAAGTACATTGAATGGACATGAGGCATTTGTTTCAAATATTATGTAATTGTTATTTGAAATCCAAATGATTTCTTTTTATATTTATTTTTGTTGTGTCATGACTGGTCATTTAACTAAATCACAATCGGCAACTTTGTGCGACATACCTGTTGTTGTTTAAGTTGACATACCTGTTGTTTTCTGTTGGGGCTTGGATCTGAACATGTGTTCTGTCGATCATCCCCACAACTCTGTGAAAGTTTGCAGTCCAATAAAGTTGGTCTGGTGATGCCTGATGTCACAAAGTTGTAGGGGGAAGCGAACGAATTGTCTGACAATCCTGTCAGATGACAAACTTCGTATGCCTGGCTCTGGCTTACACCTTGATCATTTGCAATTCTTAGCTTTTTGTGTGGCATCTAGTATGTGGTGACGGATGGTTGTGGGCTCTACATCTAGAGCTATTAGATTGGCGATGAATCTACCTATAGATTTATGTCATAAATTGCCAAAACTTAAGCCTAAGCTTCTTTGTGAGTATCACTTAAATAAAATATCAAAACTTAATTCACAGAGTGTGAAATTTTTTAATATTTTTTTTCAAAACCTTAGATTTTATTTCAGACTTAAGTTCTTTTATGAAAACTGCCCCAGATTTACTGATAATGTTGACTGTCTACAGACCCTGGTGTATTGAAACTAACAAACTAGATAATTGAATTGTTGTTTATTCTGGAATGAGGTCATCTACTTGTCTGCTTTATGATGTACACCTTAGGATAATTCAAGCCGTTAATCATGGAGTAATAATTTATGAAAACAAAATCACTGTTAATTATTACCACTACAAGCAATATATTAGGAAAATATAAATATAGAATATTCGTTTTATCGTGATCAGTTATAGCTTAGGGAAAGACTCCAGTCAAAAGTGATAAAAAGTCATCTTACAGAATACTATTTAAAAGGTATAAATTACAACAACATAGTTTAAGAGATGTTTCTAGATAATCCTAGCCCAAGGTAATAAGGACTCAACTGTTTGACACACCTTTTAGTAAGACAAAAGCTATGTCTACACTGTTTGAGACTGTCTGACTGACTGAGTTTGGTTTTACTCCGCTTTTAGCAATATTCCAGCAACATCACGGCAGGGGACACCTGAAATGGGCTTCACACATTGTGCCCATGTAGGGATTCGAACCCGGTTCTTCGGCGTGACGAGCCAACGCTTTAACCATAACTTAAAATGTTATTGTTACCTGAGGGTGTCGGGGTGTTCTACCCTTCCTTTCTAGGCAATCTGTCTAGCCACTCTGGTTCTGGGGATGGTGTAGCTAAGATGGATAGTCAAAGATAAGTCCGGTATGTTGTTCAAGCCCATTTATTTTGGAATTAATTCTTTCACAAAGGTCCTCAGATCATACAGAAATACAATATCAAAGAGATAATTGAGTTACTAGGTATCTGAGGACCAGAAAACACAAAATTCAAGTACAGGTGAATGTCTCAGATAGGATCTGTCTTAGGTTGTACCTATCTGAGAAGTGTAACAGACATGTTATATTGAATAACCTTTTTAACAATTTCTAATTGGAAGTAGTAGATGCAGATACCATCAAAGCTTTTTTTATTCTAACTGACAAATCAGGTGGGCTGGGCGAGAACAAAATTGGTGGTCTTAAAGAGACCTTTTGAACTTTCAGAGGAAACAAAAGATTGAGATGATTGAGTAACTTTTTTAAATTTGTTTAAAAAACTTAGACAGCAGACTCTTTACAATATCTTTTACTTCACTTTCCTCACATGACGTATAACCGAAACGCTTCTTGAAAGAATTTACATCATGTCTTGATTGATGGTCTGCTTTCTTATTTTCATTTCCCCTTAATGAATTCACATCTCAGGGATATCTCGTTGGAATCTATTTCCTCTTTAATCATCTCAAGCATTTGTCTCAGCCTTTCTGCTCTAACCTTTTCACAATTTTGTATATGGTTGAAAGCGAAAACAACAGCATCATTGTCCGTGTGAACACAGACAATTTTACTTCTCCATTTTCTTCTCCACACACGTATGGCAACAAACACAGCCAACATCTCTACATCATGTATAACAACATCTCTTTTAGGAAGATCCAATTTCCCATGAAAGACGTAAAGTACTGATTTATTCTTCCAGTAAGCTCCAATGCTTTTCAGACAAGCATCTGTATAGACATGTATTACCTCAAACTTTTCCAAAAAAGTGAAGACTGATTCTTCATCGTTTTTGAGGTATCTGAAATAGACAAAAATAGATGATAAAAAAAATATGCTTCTTTAGGCGAAGACATTATGTAATTACCAGTATTTCTTTCAGGCCATCAACATCATACCTCTACCCCCAAAATCTTATAAGATACTCATGAGAGGCTACATGCTTAAATATTTTAACGCCAAAATTGTGAAGCAATGACTTTCTGTAAACAATGATTAGGCCAGACCAATTTTATTTCTTGTTTTATGGATTTTTGTCCTCAGAAAACGTAAAGGCAGGAGGGAAAAATTATATAATATAAATCACCAAAGTAATATTCCTTTTAAAAACTAAAAGTATTTTATTTATGGCAATTTATGAAGTATATATGGGGCAAAATACAATCAAAGAAATTTTTTGTTGTAAACTTTTGAGCGGGGAAAATTATTGAGTTTTTTTCTTATTCTTGAAAAAATATGACTGGCAGATTCGTAAAACAAGAATTGGCGTTACAATTATTACCCAGAAACTTTGTTTTTGACTCAAGTATCTTTTTGTCTGTGTGAAACACTTGGAGGAAGCAGAAAACAATCGTCCTACTTTTGTAAAAATCATGTTTGATGAATGTGTACACCAAGTAAATCATTTTAAAAAAAACAAAAAACATCCCTAGACAACTTTCTGAACACTCTTTATGCTGTTCATTGTGATTAGTGACAGGAAACTGAAACACAAAGGAAACATGCAACTTACAGAATACATATGACTGCTTTTCCATCCGGTTGCTCCACGTTTGCTGTAACGGGATTTCTGCATGTGTCCTCCAGGTCTTTGACCAGATCCTTCCATGTTGGTCCATAGTGTTGTTCAAACAATTTATATGGCACTCCTGTGTCCTGACTGAAAAATATGAATAAAAAATGTCTTGTCTGAAAACTGAAGAAATTAAGTTCATCCTTCACTGAATATTTTTTCTAATCCCAAACCAACAAACCATTGTGATGAAACAGTCTTATTTGAAAAATAATATTTATTTTATAGGACATTTTAACATAAGATCACAATGGAAAGACATATTTTGTTTTAATTATCTTTATTATACACGAGGGAAAAGATCTTAGAATAAATGCATTATGCAGTATAGGGTTATAATCCTTGCTATCAAATGGATCTGCAAGCCCAATCAGGACCAAGTACTATAGTCTGTTTGCTGCAAAATCTTACCGATGAAATAGCAAATAAATATACATTCGAAAGCAACAAATCGTCTTAAATGCAATACAAAATCATCAATATAATTTCCAAGATTGGCATGAATAAGAGGAAATATTGTTCAACAACAATTATGTAAATGTTGGTGTTTTATGGACTGTTGCTAAAACAGCACCGTTTAGAAAAGTCCTAAAGACATGAAATTACTGTACTTACCGAACAGAACGACCAAAATCTGTTAAATAGAAAATTGGTTCATTAAACTTACAATATTAACATTAATCCAGTGCATGCATTTATGTTAACACCACTTCAAAGTGTATTTCAGTTAATGCTTAATGTTAAAGGGAGGTCTGAAGTGATGCATTTTGCAGTGGGGAGGTCACTTGGGGTCATCTTGTGGTTAAAGGCTGTTTGTGTTTGCTTGCCGAACACCCAGGTCTGATACCCTACATGGACACAACACCTGCCGTGACATTGCTGGAATATTGCTACAAGCAGCATAAGACAAACCCCCCTCCATCTGATATTTGAAATCATGATAAAGCATCCCAACTTTAAGTTGAAAGAAAGAGACTCAAATGATATTCATGTCTAGTTAGGATAATCTGGACACAATGAACGTTGAGAAGAAACCAAGACACTCCCAGAAAATTCTTGTACATGTTTGATCATTTTCATCTGGCAGGGAAAAATAGAAAACCATCACTTCTTCCTTAGAAATGCTAAGTGGACTATTAGTATAACTTACCAATGGAAGGGTTAGGGTGAAGTTCTCCAACTGGTTGAAGTGAGGATCCTGAAAGTGATAATGTATGACTGTTAGACAAGAATAGAGAGTATTGTCATATGTCTTAGGTGATTTGGTATGACCTTTAATCGAGAAAAACTGTGCCTTTTATTTTTGTTTAGCTTTTTGCTTTTTTTTTGGACAAATTCATTGGCAGGGCAGTGGGGTGGCCTGTTGGTTGAGGCATTCCCCATATATGTGAAGCAATTTCTGGTGTCCCCACTGTGATATTGCTGGAATATTGCTAAAAGTGGTGTAAAACGAAACTCACTTAATTGCCCGGGACAGAGGGACATTATTTAGATAATTGCCCGAGGAAGCGAGATTGTATCAGATTTGAGGGATATTACGAAAAAATGTCCCCTGAGAACAACAGAGTGGCGTCACTGTTGGTTTATAAGGCCTGCCAAATATATGTATACAAATGTCTTTCTGTCCCCACAAATAGCAGCACGGAGTATGGAAGAAATTTTCAGTCACATAACCTCATGGTACTATAATAAATAACTTACCTTCACTTTCTTGAACAGACCTCCTTGTTTCATTATTATAACGAAGTGATGTGTCTTTGTCTTCGTTATCTGAAAACAACAAACGACCATGTAACAAAATATATTTTAATATTTCTGGATATTTTATGTATGCCATGGACTTTAGTAGACAAATGGACAATTTTATGTCCCCAGTTTGTTTGTTTTTTTCAAATAATAACTGGACAAAAGGATTGTCCACATAAATGTATTGTTCATTCGTTGTACTGATTTATTCATTGCTGTTAACCAGACAGGTTATTAGGTTTCAGTTTGTGTACATACGAACAGTTCGCGAAAACACACCTGACAACAACTTACTTCGCGGAAAGCTCGAGCATGAAAAAAGCATGCGTTTTCGCCACGTGTGGAGTTCGAAGGGAAATTGTAGTTAGTTCGTTTCGATTCGTTGATAAGGCAGCACGCCTTTGAGATAGTTCGTTAGTGGTAACCACTTGGGTGTTAGATTGTTTGACAGAGGTTTAGTGTAATAGAAAGTTAGGAATGTAAGATATTGTAAAGGTAATAAAAGGTAAATTAAAACAAATATTAGATTCTGATTTAGTGGTTTTGTTTGATATCACAACTGGTACAGTTCCTGCTGACCAATAACCGTCCCAACTATATGTTGAAAGAATTGACTCATTTGACAGGATACTCTGGACATAATGAATGTTGAAAAGTCATCAATCTACTCCCACGAAATTCCTGTACCAGTTTTGTCATGTTGTCTTGCAGGGAAAATAGTATTGCCAGTGACTAATTTTGATTCAGTAATTAATTCATGTGCAAGGTATTGAAACACAACTTTTAATCTCAACAAATTAGGACATCAGTGAACAACAATGTTTGGGTTTATATAAACAAACAACCTTTTTGTCTTATCAGTTTGACCATCATGTAAAATATGATGATTTATCCCCTGTTGTGTTCATTTTCTGTTGCACACTAGGCCATGATAAATGATTAACCAAACTTTGGTCCCAATTTTTAACAAAACTGGGATGAAGGTGTTTGATAAAGTATGCATTTTGAACGTGGTATTACACTATTCTGGTTATACTGAGTGCTAATTTCACGTCTTATGTATCTAAAACATCATCAGTTTTGTTCGAAATTTCATTCATTAATGTTGACAGTTTAAATTAAATAGCTTTGTTCAAAAAAATTCATATTTGTTGTAGTTTGACTAATATTTGTCAACATATCCTTTTTGTGATTGAAAGTAGTAAACCTACAGGAAGCCTCTAATGGTGACCCACAAAACTGTTCCAAACATTTAAGACTTGACGTCCAGGTGCTCACCTCTGAGTTACAATTGTTTAATCATCTGCATTGTATTTGCATGTCTTCGTTTCATAACAATTCTTAGGATTGAAATAAAGTTTCGAGACTTCGAGAATCTGCATTCATTCGTCTCTGTTCAGGTGTGTTGTGTTCATTGAAACAAAACACAGATCATATACTGATATATTTGAAAGGTCATATTTGATATTTTTGAACTCTGAGAAAACAATATTTCCTGACTGCCTATTTCTCTGTTACTCTAAGACAATATGTAGTACACACATTCGACCGCATGTTCAGATCATAAGTCAGTTGATGTTTCTGGTTTCTGCCTATTTGATGAAATGTTATTCTCTGGGGTGCTTCCTGTTGGGAAATTTTAAACCAGTGGGCAGACATTCTTGAATTACCTGAAATCTTTCACACATTGCATGCAACTATGCCTGTCCCAAATCAGAGGAATGTGTAGCCTTTTGTGCATTAACACCAGTCAACCAGAACCCTCTAACCGAGTTTAATGATATCCTCGAAACATTGTTACTTTCCTCTTTTACTTTTCAATAACATTGCCAAAAATAATTTATAATTTCAAATCTGTCAGTATTATGTGATCTATTAAAATGTAATAAACAAATTCAGACATTTCTAGTATAACAACACCATAAAAGTTTACAGTATAATAAACAAATCATACGTCAGGTAGGTTCCAGGTATTATGTATCATTCTGACGTGATTAATCAGCCTCCAGTGTCGAATGGGTTAATCATTCCAGTTACTGTATTGTGCGTGTAATTTAGCAATAACTAGGATTCTTAGGATTATAATAAGAGTATGAAGTCAACATGTCTTGACTTCGGGGTATCGGCCATTTTGAAAGATTTCCTTCAGGCACATTGATCTCTATACAGGTGTATATCTTAAATGTTCATTGAGACCATGTACTGAGTGGATTCTGAGTGAGAGGACAAAGACAATATCCCCTGACTGACATTTTCTCTGTTATTGTAAGACAGGGATATGCAGTACTCACCTTTGATAGCTTTCATTTTACTGACACAAGTGGTTGTGTTCACCTTTTATATGGGTAGCCTTAGTCACGCGACATTGTTGTCATGTCAAATTTTCTAGATTTTCTTTAGTCACATGTTACCTACCGTTAGCTAATCAGAGTGTCTGAAATAATCACACGACACGACACATGTCGTGTATGAAGTCATGTAAGGTTTGGTTCATTTGAAGTTGTCATTGTTTATAGTTTTAACGCAAGCGTTAGTCTATGGTTATTTTTAGATCTTGCCTAGTCCATTACGGGTATAATGGGTGTCAAGGGATTGTGTCATCGCTTGTGTTGTGCCCTTTGACTTGCTTGACCCCTTGTGTCGATTGGTTCTTTTAAAACACTAAACATTACTTGCACGTCAGCCATTGCACTTCACTTCAATCAGATCGCAGTTCAGAGCACAAACAACTAACACGTCTGATCTAAAGGTAGGAACAATATTTCAAGTATTTTATATATGTTGTACTAAATAACAATGTTATTAGTGCTAATTAAATGTTCTTCATGATAATAAAATAGGTTAAAGTATATTTGTGCAATTGTAAATATTATGCCGAGGTAAGTAGACTATCTTGCAGTGATATAGTAAATAACGATCATGCTTAAAACTATGCTGGTTTGTTTATTTGTAAATATTCAATGATGTTTATGCATAGGTTATTTACTGTGCATTATAACCATAACGCACTTGATTTACATTATACTTACGATGCAGAATGATTGAATGTGTGAATGATATTAAGTATGACCTGATATAGCTTACACATAGTTACGTCAGTAGGTTACACACCACCAAATGTTTTCCCATAGACTTCTATAGTAGCCTTATATTTTTTTTAAAAATAATCCAGGCTATCAACAGCCATTCCATGTACACATGGGTACACTCTGGCCTTTAAACTACCATAAAAACACACTATCTGGCCACGTTGCCCGGCTTGTTTTGCAAGCACAGGAAGCGGAACACATCAACCCCAGTTCCGCACCAAATGTCACCTACTGGAAAATATCTGTACACAATAAGTCATGGTGATGAAAATCACAGCTCTGAATACTTAAAATTGTGGTCAGCTTTAATTACTGGTTGGATATGCTTTTAAAAAACATAAACATCTTACACTATTTCATCCAATCACAGCTGTCACATGTCTCTATCTCTTCATTTGTTTACATACGGTTCTCGCTCAGTGAGCAAGCAATTCTCATTTAGTGTAGCATAATCTGTACCGAAGAAAGTTACTGATTGATGTGATTTGTATATATACATATTTAGAATATTGAGACTTTGGTTTGCTTGTTCTTGTAGCAGCAGTATATTCATCTTGGAGACGTGGCTCTTCTACACCCCAGTGTCACGCACAGGGTATGAACGTCATAATGTGTACGTTGGTACGACGTATTTGAAACGTTATTGTAATACCAAGGAGTTACCGTTCTTGGTGGTTCAGTCAACGTGTTAATGGCAATGTAACTATTACCACAACAACATTATCTAATGTGCATCTGTTGACATTAATTGATATTACACTCATTTCTTATGTTAGAAATGATATCAGAGATTCAATGATTGTATATATTTATCTATATTTATAAGTTTGCCCTTAATCCGAGGGCGCTAGCCAACGACGCCTTTCAGCTAGATTGGACAGACAGTGTACTGTGGGCGTTCCCCCGATACCACTGATCCCCAGGGTCCTGTCTCAGCTGACCGCACAACCATCTCGGCTACTTGTGCTTCTTGCACCCCTTTGGTTTCCGGTAATTCTCAGGTTTCTGGCTCAGTCTCCTGTTCTATTACCTTTTTGACCGGACCTCCTATCCCAGAACGGAGCGCCCCAGCCGAATCCCAGGATTCAGTGGGTGGCTTGGTCGCTGTCCGGGATCGCCTCCGAGTGAGCGGAATTCCTGCACCAGTTGCAGACACAATTCTGGCTTCGCGGAGGGATTCAACAAACGTTCAATATGAGGATAGATGGGCCTGTTATTCGCGCTGGTGTGTCAACAGGGGGATTCTTGATCCCTTTTCTACAGATTTAGTCTCTGTTTTAGACTTCCTCCAGTCTCGGTTGGACGCCTGTCTAGCGGCTTCAACTGTTCGAGGATATTCTACGGCTATTTCTGCGTTTCATATTCCTGTTGATGGTGCTCTCTTGGGGCGGCACCCTCTTCTGCAGCGTTTTTTAGCAGGCGTGGACAGAATCCGTCCAGTTGTCCGGCGGATTAGTCCCCCGTGGGACTTGCCAATCGTTCTTGATTGGCTGTCCGGTCCACTATTTCACAATCTGTCGGCTCTTTCACTCCAGCTGTTGACGTGGAAGACGGCTTTTCTTGTGGCGGTAACTTCAGGCAGGCAGGTAGGTGATATTCAAGCAATGTCGGCCGATCCCGTGCTCACTGTTTTTCACCAAGACAGAGTTAGCATACGGCTGCCTGATACTTACCGCCCTCAGAAGGATAGTGCCTTTCATGTGACAGCGCCTATTGAGCCTCCGGCTTTCACTCAGTCTCCCCTGCCCGGTACCCCTCTGCGACGTACTCACGTCTTAGATGTCCGTAAGACCCTTAAGGCCTATATCAAGCAGACAAGGGGTAGCCGTAAGGATAACCAATTGTTTTGTTGTTATGGCGGGGGTTCAGGCTGGTCTTCCGGCGACCAAGCAGACCATTTCTAGGTGGCTTGTCTCTGCCATACATATGAGCTATACTCACACAGGTCGTATACCGCCTGCAGGTTTTGAAAGCTCATTCGGTTAGGGCAGTTGCTTCATTGAAAGCTTACGCTGCAGCCTTGCCCATTGAGGAGATCTGCTCCGCGGCTATTTGGAGCCAACCGAGTACGCTCATCCGTCATTACCAACTTGACAGACTCTCCAGTGAGCGTGCTCGGTTCGGTCAGTCAGTTCTCTCCAGTGGGCATGATTCCACCTCTCTTCAGCTTTCGAGGATTTTATGACGTGAACCATTATCTGCCATTTTTCACTGGTGTTGGGTTTTAAACAACTTTTACCTATTCCCTTGGTGACGGGTTTTATATGGTGATGGTTTTTATTCCCATGTCTTTTGCATTACTCCGTTCTGCTCTAGACTTGTATGGCCTTGGAAACTTTTGCTTACTAGACGTATTATGGCATTTTGTTTCTTGTGGCTTCTTATGGGATCCCCTTATCTTCACTTCCGATTGATTACGGGAGGGAGGGTTTATCTCGACTGTTCACACTAGCGAGGTTTCGCATTGTGACTGTAATGTGTTCGACCCTGACCCTGGGTCATGCCCCCGCCTGATTGGCTATGGTGGACACGTGACCAGGTAGGTGTGCTGTTTTCTGCTATTTTTAGCTTGGGAAATTCCACTTCTTGTCGGGTGTATTCTGCAGACAGAATGCCACTACTTAGCTCCGTCTTTAGGAGTCTGTCTTATGCTTATAAGTACCCCAAGGAGGAATATATAAAAAAGAATCGAACTAACCTGTAGAGGTTTCAGATTCTTTGAATATATTCCTCCTTGGGGTATGCCCGCCCACCTCCCCACTTTCTGTCTGACGTCGTTCAGCATGGAAAGTGAGGTGCGAGGTTACGGTCTAGAGTTACCTGCTCTTGGCTGTAGGTGGCAAGAGGGCCCTGTAAGGGTGGTCTCACAAGACAAAACGTAGTTTTTGTTTTGTAAATATTTTTTATTCAAATATTGTTACAACTGTCGTAGGGATTTTAAATGGACATTTAAATGCTTATAAGTACCCCAAGGAGGAATATATTCAAAGAATCTGTAACCTCTACAGGTTAGTTCGAATTTGAATCATTATGTCGTAAACGTTTCCTCTGCATTATGGTTGCCAGTTTCCTGTGGGTGACACAGATACATACAGAATGAAAGAAAATAAATTTTTTCTAACTCATAGCTATCACTAGTGGTATGCCTAAATATCTACATGGTTATCTCCCTTAGCTGTGACGTCACAGCATTGTTCTTTGAACACCTTCATAATATTTTCTATATGGTCACACACACAGTGAAAGAGGGTTATTCTTACAGATTTATCAGTAGAAATCGCATTTGGCCACCAGACAATTGCACTGACTTTATTATTGCTTATTGAGAAATATTTTGAATTTGTGTAGCTTAGGAATTTTCCCACCCTTTTTGAACTTTTCCGCCATGTTGCAAAATAAGTGGGTTCAATGTCAAAACTTTATGGCTGAGTTAGATCCGCACTCTCTATGTGCCTCATGTTTTGTTGGAGCCCCTTGCACAGATGAAGTTCTAGAGGTAGAGGAAGGGGGGCTAGGTCCTTTCGCCCTGTACCAACAGTTCATTCTATGCCTTACGATTTGGATCTGTTCCCAGAATTAAAGTTGGATTTTGATTTTATTCAGCTGGTAGCTCCCTCGCCAGTAGGGGGTCGTCTAGCGTAGTATCACAAGAATTGGGAGCAAATTACAAAGGACACTTGGATACTATTGCTAGTTCTTCGGGGGTTCATCCTACCTTGGGAGGTTCGGCCGCCAGTCACATGCCATCCGAGCGGTCACAGATTTTTTATTCAAGGTCAGCATCTAGTTGCGGCCGAGAAAGCTATTCATCAGCTATTGGAGAAGCAAGCAATAATAGAGATATTCCCGCACGGACCCTTCGGAGGGGTTTTACTCTCCCGTGTTTCTGGTCCCCAAAAAGGATACAGCAGAAATGCGCATGATTATAGATCTGAAAATCCTCAACAAGAATTTTCTACGAAAACCACCAAAATTCAAGATGGAATCTTTGAGCAATTTGCGCAGTCTTATCCAACCGGAAGCCAAGTTTATACGCATGGATCTCAAGGACACCTATCTTCATGTGCCTATACATCCTCGGTCACAGAGATACCTGAGGTTCGCAGTAAATGGTCGCAGGTATCAGTTCAGATATCCCTTGCACCTTGGCTGTTAACGGAAGTGATAACTCCCATTGTAGCCTTTCTTTATCACAGACACATAGCCATTCACGGTTATCTGGATGATTTCCTAGCCATGAATACGGTCACAAGAAAA